CGCCCTGATGATGGAGGCAGTATGACCTCTGAAAAGTTGGTAAACATCTACCAGACTACACAGCGCAACAACCCAGAAGACAGAAATCTTTATACTCTGATGACGGAGGCAGTAATTACCTCCGAAACGTTGGTAAACATCTACCATACTACGCGGCGCAACAACCCAGAAGACAGAAATCTTCATACTCACGGCTGTGAGAACCTCAAGTCTTACAATTATTTTTATGTTTTCGTTGAACCTTAAGTGGTTCATTGTATTAGTACGTCATGAAAGCATCGTATTGTAATAATATTATTTTACGAAGCTTAATAATTTTAGAAGCGACTGAACGTAGATTCATGAAATAGAAGATGGCGAAATTAGCAAGAATTTAGTATAAGTACGTTCTTTTGGTACAGAATGTAGTATCAGTTCGAACCTCGTGTTTTATTTATACCAGAATACTTGTATCAGTTTCGATTAAATGTTGGCGATGGACTGATCTCATCAAGGAAGGTTCTGCCCTTCAGTTTAAACCGCGTCTTAGTAATAAGAGAAGGTCGCCATATTAGTGCAGATCCTCAAATCCATCTTTTCATATAAATACGAACGCAGAACAAATAAATATCTTAAGCTTCATATTAAACAATAATGTTATTTGCTTCGTACGTAATAAATTCTTAGTTCCGGGTTTCTAGACTGCTCCGCAAAACATTCTTGTACGATATTTGAACGAAGGGCATAAATGAAAGCGTAATAGGGAGATGTCTGTAAAATATCTCACATTATTTGAAAGATTTCAATAAAATTTCGTATTATATGGCTTACATTAAAAGTTATTGAGATGAAGGTTAGGATTTGAAATATGGCGAATTCATTAGAAAATATAAACAGATCACAAACATTCATTTCTGTGAGGTGTTAATTTGTCCAAATTATTCTGTCAGTTAGTGATGGAACCTCTTTCTGTATGCTGAGACTATGACCGTATTTGATAGTTTTTTAATGATATGTTTTCAGAAAAAATAAATATATTACAATACGAATTTCAGATATCCAAACAAAAAATGTAAGTGAAAAGTATGTAAATCTATCCCGCTGTACGCCATATAGACGCTTGGGGGGAGAGTTGCGATATAGCTCCTATTCATTCTTAACCTCGTCACTAGATGGGGGGTGAGTGGTCAGCGTCACACCCCGGGCACGCTTAACCCTCCGGGAAAGGATCCCGGTACCCATTGGATAGGAGGCTGGGTGTGCCCCAGAGTCAGTCTGGACGCAGAGGCTAGAAGGAAAATTCTCTGCCCCCGTCGGGGATCGAACCCCGGTCGTCCAGTGTTCTTTGCGGAATATTCTTTGTTGCTAGGTCTCTGTTTATTGTCACCATGCACCGTCCATCTTGTTTCCATCACCCAAATATTAATTGGAAAAAAGTAATCTTTATTTATTGAAGCTGTTTTTTTTAAAAGTTCGTTTTGTGGCAGAATCCATGAAGTTCACGTGTCGATACTTAAGGATCTGTTTTCATTATTAGGTCTATACGAATTTTGCCTTGCTAGTACTAGTCTGAAAATATCGATTCAATAAGGAATATTGTTCTAATACTCCATTACCGTCCACTATAATCCACTAATTTCTCTCTTTATTATTTTTTCATTGTATGTATGTATGAACCGCCACGGTGGTCTAGCGGTTAGAACGCTGGCCTTGTAATCCTGGGGGTCTCGGGTTCGATTCCCGGCGGTGCCCGAATTTATAACTTGTGTTGAGCAAGGCCGTGGTCTAGGCAACACGGAGTTTTCCTCCGTGGCATCCCAACAATTACTCCATTCACACACAGAAGAAGGCAATGGCAATTTTCGGAACAGGCATGAAATATTCCTAAAGTAATTTATCCCGCCTGTGGTCGCAATTTCAGTAGCAGACTGACCTCACAGGGTACAATTAACCCATAAGCTCCAACGATGATATAGGAATAAAGGTGGAATTAAATGTATAAGCTTGGAGCGAGAGAGAGATCCTGGTAGTTCGCATTAATATTTTCTAAATATTGGAAGAAGGATTTGTCAGGTCCGTGTTGTTCCCGGATCTTCTAATTCACATAATGCAATGTTCGTTTGCGTCACGAATAGCCGCTATAAAATATGAGGCTCTCGGAACGTGTTGACATGTGGATCCTTGAAGAATATGTTCTCATTCTTCCTAAATCAGCTTCCACATGACGTCAAAGCTAATGACGTAGAGAGAAGTTAAATTGTACCAGAATAATAAAAATTTGACTTAAGATAGAAGGTACAAGGATGTTTATCGCGCTGCATTAAGTGATTGATATTAACGTTTATTTGTTCTAGACGAGAAATGCGCGTTATCCTTTGAAGTTTGTTTGCGAATATGAAGGAATATTCCACTGGAATAATCGTACGTTTATTAAACATTCTGACGATGAGATCTTCCAGTTAAAAGCTTTCTTGTTTCGCCTATAACCGCTGATATGATACAGCGTTTAATGTCCGTCCATTATCTACAGTCGAGCTATTACACAGTTTACTTTGAGTCTTACGTTTTTAGACCAATGATTTATGTGTTTTAGGTGTTTTTAAAACGCCCTGGTTAACATAACAGCATCTACAACCACTCCGATAATGTTCCTGAATGTACATTGCTTTGCGACTTAGATTTCGTGTGTTAATTCTACATGGAGAAGGCCTTTTATGAAGTACTCACTCCTTTTAGGACCACTTTAATTTTAAATATATACCGAGATTAATTATTATCTGTAAATTTGCCAGTTCGTATTATTATCGCTATATAAGTTTGATATTTTACGTAATAATGTTGAATTTTGAATTGTTTAAAATTTAGACGACCACATCTTGTTGCTTTATTTCTTATTAATGTTTAGAAGGTCAAAATATAGGCTGTCCCAAAAATATGTATACACATATTCAATCAAAAGTAAGATAATAGAAATTATTTAAATGAAACTTATATATGTAGAGTCCGTATAGGTAAACATACATATCGCAAAGAGGAATCTCTGCTAGATGCTCGTATGATAAGAAGGTTTATCTAGAAGTAAACGCATAGAAAATGTAATTTTTGTTAATGTTTCGTGTTTGTGAACAGGGTTCATTTTTTTTAAAAAAAAATTAATAATAATGGAGTTTCGTGAGGATTACAAATTATGAAGCCCGGGGTAGAATAAAACTTGCCCAAACGTGGGACGTGCATGCTCGCGTCGTGTTGTGACTGACCTGTTCTGTCGTACTGGCCGTGTGCGTGAATGCGACGGCAATCAGGACTAGTAGCAGCAACATCCTGTGGCACATGAGTTCAGTCCCGCAATGACACATCTTGAAGGCAGATTCCCCTGTGCAGAACAACACAAGTCAGACGTTAAAGATTAATACAAGAAAAATTCAAAATGAGTTTGTGCCTCCTTCGTGTGATATGGCGCTGTGGTGTGGTTGTTAACACCTTTTCCCCCCGGATCTAGTTTCACTAGGACCTTAGAGTGACCTGGTTTGTGGCGTCTTATCAACTACTGAAGATCTGCAATTTGTTATAATTTCATTTCATAGACTTCGCTTCTTACATTTTCACAGTCCTGAGATTGGGTACTGGAAACTGACATATTTTACTGCGATACTAAGTACCAGAGGAACACCAAACAAACAAACAAACATATGGGTTCCTTGTGACTTTCCTGTGGTTAACTTCTGATCATAAGCGAGTCTAATTTGATTCCTTCCGCATTATTTTTGAAGTTAATTCTCATGCTAGTTTTTTGGGTGGGACCGAAACGCCATTAGGCGTACCAACAATACCGACTTTACCAAATTTACTTATAATATGGAATGCTATTTAATTGGGCAAAATATTTATTCAAGATTAATGAAAACATTTAAGAATAAATATATAAAAATTATTACAAAATATTCGTGAAGATTCCCTACATTTGTTACCAGTACGTTCCGTGTATCCCCCGTACCCTTTCTACATGTCCAGCCCATCGATTCATTCTACATTTCAGTCATAACAACGCCAGATGACATGCATAAATCATCGAACACTGTGTTACGTAATATCCAAAATTGCCACTTTTTTCAAGTATTTTGCTGACCACTTGGTATTCAAGCACTTTTAATCAAAAATTCGATAGTCACAATAAAAACCCAAAATATATTAGAATTTACAGACAGAAATAATCTTATAAAATATATATGTTAATATTTTCGTGCATAGATTTTATTACTAGCGTGTCTTGTTGAACCCTTTGAAGCCGAAGCTCGTCTAAATATTATTTAAGAATTCAGCCCGTACCGCGAAGAAAACACTACACTTCACCATTACAAAGATCGAATGGTTAATGCTATTAAAACGATATAATCTCTGTTTTCAATGATAATCATACAAGAATCATAAATACAAAATGAAGAGTTACTGATTGTTATAGGAGGTGGTACATATAGTTACCACTCTGCATCAAAAGGTTAATGTCACCAGCAGAAACTGGCCCAGTTACCTGTCGCCTCACGTGTTGATGAACCTTCTGTGTCCGTTCGCCAAATGAACTTAATACAGACTGCGTCTGCAAATATCCATCCGCGTCCTTGATTTCATCACCTTAACAATATAGGTGAAGCTTCACGTTACGTAATTTTCTCAAACCCCCATCTTCCTTGGGTTTTAAACGTTTTCCTCTCCACGTTGTTTTCAGATGCTTTTTAATCTTTGTTATTTTTAAAATCGCAGACCGATACGCAGTTATTGAAAACAATGTGCAAGGTCATGGCTTCTCGTGTTTTAAAAGTTTTCGAAGTCCAAAATATTTTCTTAATTTCATTATGATGTTGATTTAATTTAAATGGATCTACGTTTTTACCGCTCCTTATTTGTAAACGTAGTTGCACGTCTCTTAATGTAAATTATACTTAAATTATAGCTACGTATAGCCGAGTCGTTGAGAAGCTGATAGTCGCTTAGTTAGTCAGGTAATGCTCATCTTATGGGAACCGAAGATTCATACCAATTTTCTGTACAGCTCGCAACTGGAACCTGTACTCAGTTCATATCTTTATATGCCTTTTAAAATCCATTTTAATATTATACTCTCATATGAGCCTCGGTTTTCCTAGTGGACTATTTCCTTAAATTTTTCTAACATTTCTCAGAGGATTAACAGTGATGGTGAGTGGGGCTTGGATTTTTAATTATTTATTTTTGTCTCAGACTTCCAAATGTCATAAATTGTGACGAATATGTTGACCATCTGTAGGTTTTTCGCAATTCTTCGACTAAATCTTGTGTTAATTGATTTGTTTCTAACCGGTACGTATAACTTAACTGACTGTGTGTTGATATACACCGTGTATTTGTTAACCTCAGTCTTCTGCCTGTGTGTTTGTATCTCACAGGTTCCAAAAATACCAAGATAACTGAATATCTAAGTTCATTTAATTAAGACCGTCTGTCATTCCATAGGATTAATTGTCTCATACGATCTGTTCATGCGATATAATAAATTTTAAATGATTTTTTCCCCCATATTTGTTTCATCTCTGTAAAAACCTCTGTAACTTTCTCCATTCTAATCTTACGTCATCCACGTATAAACATTATTTTGTTGTAAAATTATATTATTATATATTTAAACGTGTAGAGTTTTGAAAGCTTGGTGAGAATATATTCTGTACTGAATGGTATTATGCGTGTATTTTATCGTCAATACAATTTTCTAATTGATAGTGTCGTTCCAGAGTACGTGAACTTTGACACATTTTCAAAGGATTTATCAGGACACGAAATGCCACTTAAAAAGTTCAATCAATTAATTAAAACTGTATAAATCTTAAACACGCCATGACTTTCTGTTGGTTTGTATTTATATGTATAATTTTTCTATACGTGAGTTCTTAGATGTGATGAATCAGAATTTTTGAACCAACTGACCAAGCGCTGTTATCGGATTTGATTTCGGGAGATGAAAATAAGAGGATTAAAAATTCAGATAAGTAAATAAACACTTGAGAAACTACCACGAAGCCTTTCAGAGTGGAGGATTCCCTCGGCATTGCAGATCTCTGTCCCTTTCTGACGTAGTAAACCCCTGCTCGGACGGAAGAATGTAGTACTGTTGTCAACCTGTGAATTCGCAAGCTTGTGATGGGAGGGATTATCAAATCGCGTAGACAGAATACGTGGAGCATGTTGGATAGAGGCTGGCACGCATCAGAACCAGATTTGGTGCATCTCCCTTCTTTTTTTTTGGAATCCCCGAATTTTGAACACAGCGACATAATTTTTAAATAAAAGTAACGTTACTTCTGTTTCAGGCCAATATACGTAGTTTTTCAGGAGTTTTTTTGGCTTAATTTTATATTTCAGCATTGTACACTTTTGTTTTATAAAAATGTGTCATAAATGAAAAATAATTTCATTAAATAAAACAAAGCGTCTTTACTATTTGTGGACTTTTTCAACGTTATGCTTTCTAATTGAATAAAAATTTTCTTGGATATTATCCATCGTCTAGTAAATATAAAACGTAAAACGACGTTTCGGAGATGGGACTCTATCTCCGGAGATAGGGATTAGCTCTATCTAGTGGGCCCAACTGTGTAGGAACCTGAAGACGGAGATAGAGTTCCATCTCCGA